GCCTATCTAGTGGATTTTTAATGTCTAGAATTAGGTTCAATTTGTTGTTGATTTGAGAGGACTCATTTCATGCATGCAATGTTTAGTAATAATTAGATGCTCTTTGACGCTTGTTTTCAATGGCAAAAGGTTACATGCATAGTTCATAATTACTGTTTAAAGTGTGCCATGGTTTCACCATGTTTTGAAAAAAAGAATCTGGCTTCCTTAGAGCATCAATTGGAAGCTTCAAAATGGTTTGAATTCACTTGCATGTTTGACATGTTTCATTTGGTTTCTTCGAAAAATGGTTCGAAACTTGGGTTTTCGATAAAAAACCCTTGGGCTTTGGAATTTCTCAAATTTGAGTTTGAGAGATACTCATTAGCTAATATAGATAGTGGGTTTTATGTATACCTGAGTATTGTTATCTATACCATATTTAACCAACTGTTTTAACTTGATGAATATTTAGAGAGCTCACTTTGGAGGGATATTAGTATTTACTCATGTATATTGAGAATGATCAGGAATTTTTTGATAACAGTGTAGTTGTTGTATCGACTTTTTTTGTGGATGTGTTGAACATTCTGCTGGGGTTTCCCGCGGGATCATGGCTTATATCCTCGACACTTATTACCCGCTCTCTCTAAAGGAGAAGCTGTCAAACTTTTTCTTACCCGGAAGAAAGAATGAAACACGCACGCTAACGACGCGTGAAGATACACGGAAAGATCAGCCAGTGCATTCAATCTACAATTGCTCTAATCTGTACTGTATCATAACTTTGTAACGCAGGGTTGCCAAAAAGCTTTCAATTGGGGTAGAGACACGAGACGAGAGGAGCGTTGTAGAGGCTCATGAGTGTCAAGCTGAGCAGAAAAGCAACGGTTGAGTGGTGGACCTTAATGAAAGAACTTTAAGTGCAGTCCACTGCAGTCCATGCCACTGAGGGGCAAAATGAATTAATAATACAGGATTGAGTTGCATCCTTCTTTTCCCTTAGGATCAAATGATAGCCAATTGACACTTATGGCAACGAATTTTGATTCGTTTAATTTTTGTTACACTCAATTTCTTCCAGATTCGTGGATTTTTAGTCACATAGATGTAATTGCTTGTTTTAGTAGTTCTAGCTTGTGATTACAATGGTCAAATTGTTTGCAAACCTAATTTGCAATGAAACTGGGTTGAGACTATTTCCAACAATTGCATAGGTTGTGCATTATGTCTTTCCGAATATGAAAAATGTATTGTTTGTTTTATATGATTAGCAAAGCTTTAATTTTCTATCCTGGGTTGGTTTAAATTTTTTTGAATTTTTTATTGGGGCAATTGAGTTATAGTAGTGCCATCTCATAGAGATTCCATTTGTTTTGTTTTTGCATGAACAAAATCCTAACAGGGTTTATATAATCAAAACAAATAATTGTTTTGCTTTGAGCTGGCCAGGGCAATTTTAATGACTCATGGTGAGATCCAAGGTGGCTAATAAGAAAAAGACTGGGCAGTGGAAATTTTAAAACTATATATCCTTATGTTTTGAGTTAAAAATGCAATGATCTGACAGGAAAACAATAACAAATTGCGTTGAGATACAGCAAAATACCATACGGCTATATTTTAAAAACTTCATAAATAGTCCCCTCCGAAATTAAAGAATTGGAGAGAGTCAATAGTTGCGCTGCTACATTTATACAAACATATATAAACCTCTTTCATAAGGTTATATGGATCCCACTATCCCAAGTGAGAAAGGGTGAGTGCTGGGAATTTGTCCAATGATATGGATTTTGTGGTCGAAAACATAAAGATATTCCTTGTAGGGAATCCACTATAATCGGTAGATTGTTGAGCTTCTGTTATAAAACACTAGGTGTTGCTGACGGTAAAATCTTCTGACACCAAGGACTTCAATTTCTTTTGTGGCTAATGCTGCTTTATATTCTATTGAGGTCATTTTCTTGATAGAGTTTTGTGCGGACATTTTGGCCCATTTTGTCTTTTAGGAAGGCATGCCCAAGAACAGCTTCATTCTGGTTACCTTCATTGCTTTGACTTTGATTCCTTATTAGAAAGGAAGCAAACTACTAGAAAAGGTCAACTTCCTCTCCTATGTCAACTCTTATGTCACTTCCTCCTCCCACTCTTCTATGTTTTTGAACAGCCTATACATTGTCTTAACTCAACAAAGCACTATTAGTGTCATTTTTGTCCTATAATCTATTAACAAATTACTTGGAGAAGGTGAGCCACCAAGATTAGGTGTAAGATGTTTTTAAAGAACTCATCAAAAGCACTTGATGTCATTAGTTTCTATAAGTTATGCCTTTTTAACATTGTTTCATGGGAAAAAAAAACAACATTTTTGCTCGTGTTTTTCGCATGCAGTAATGCACAGGCAATCTTCCTTCCCTCATCTGTGCTTTTTAATTCTATATTATCTAAGAGTTAAATATACTTATTAAAAGAAAATAATTTAAGAATTTAATATAGTCCCTTATGTCAAATCTTTCAGGTGGTTGTTGCATACAAATTGCTCTTTGGAATGGCGGATTGACAAGTTAAAATGTACGAAGACTCATTCATGTATGGTTGGCCCACAGGTATATTTCCTTAGATTTGATGTCTTTGGAATGTGTTGAGTGCCTTTGGACTATATCTGAATCCATTTAATAATTATTTTTCATTGAGCTGTTTGCATCCATGCTGATTATTTGTATACTGTTTTCAGTCATTCGTTGATTCCGCAAGCATAATACATATATTTTCAAAAAACTTTTAAATTGGCCTTCATATTTTAAGTCTCTTAAATTGCTGTTACTTCTGTTCAAGTTTTCTCCCACTTTTAACTTTGCAATGTTGACTGTGGCCGCACGTTATCGTACTTCCTTCCTTTTCATTTTTCGTTTGTTTGATGTTGCAAGCTTCTCCATAACTATTTAGTCCTGTTTACAGAGTTTGGAACAATAGTTACCAAAAGATGCTGGTCGACTTTTTTGGTTTTGCGGGATGGAAAATTAGCAGATTGCAGGTGAGTTCCTTATTCTTTTTGTTAAATATATGTGCAATAAATCTTTTATGGTTGGTAATGACCAACTACATCATATACCTTAAAGTTCTTTTCCCAAAGACATGGCGAACTCAAATCCTTTCCTCTGGCCTATATTTTCAAACCATATTATTTGTGTTCAATTCAGCGAGAGCAGCAGACATGTGGGTAGGATGAGCAGGATGGGGGAAACAATTGAGCTTGCCTTCAGTAGGAAGAAAATTGAAGCAAAGGAAGAATTGGCTCCGCACAGTTTAAAGGTTGGAATGTAATTTCTTTCTTCGCATAAATAATCTAAGGTGTTCTGTAATGTGTTTCCTTTTTCTAAAAATAACACTTTCTTGTCTATGTGATTTGCAGCCTGGCACTTACCTTGATAGAAGGAGACGCTTATCAAGTACAGTGATTTTGTCAACAAAGAGCTTATATTGTTTTCTATGGAAGATCTTCAACGGTCAATTCCTTCAATGGTTGATGGCCTAAAACCAGGTCAAAGAAAGATCCTTTTTTGTTCTTTCAAGCGCAACTTTGGGAAGGAAGCAAAAGTTGCTCAATTCTCTGGGTATGTATCTGAGCATAACCAGAGTTTGTTTTTGTGTATATCCTAATGTTGTGCTCTTCATGGATGCGGTTACACAACGGCCATATTAGTCAATCGTGACAGAATATCTACGAAGGTAAAGACATTTTTTAGTTCCTAATGCATTGTCCCGCAGTCTTGATGGTTGTGCCACTGCCATCCTTCTCACATGGGTTGATACTGCAATGAGAGAGGGGTTGCTGGACACAGTCAAAATTGTTGTGAATTTAGCAATTTGCTTCCTGAATTATTTTATTATTTGAACTACTTCTATCTAAAGCAAGTAATGGAAGGCTAACTTTGCACAAATCCTGATTTTGTGGAACAGAGGTAGTCTATACCGCCTCATCCATAGGGCAGATGCTGGTGAAGTTTTGGACCAAAGGAGGCGCTTACGCATGGCTCTGGATGTGGTTTATAGTGGGCTTTACTGTTATGAACCTTTTCTATTGTTAACACTTGCTGTTGTATTATTAATTTATGATATTGCACTCGATGCAGGCCAAGGGTATTAACTATCTTCATTGTCTTAGCCCTCCGGTAGTTCACTGGGATCTTAAATTTCCAAATCTGTTGGTTGATAAAAATTGGACGGTGAAGGTACATCTATGAATGTTATAATCTTTTCCCTGTTGCTAGTCAAGCAACCTCCTTGAGCTTTGTCTTATACATTATGCTCAGGTATGTGATTTTGGGTTGTCCAGATTCAAAGCAAACACTTTCATATCGTCAAAATCTGTTGCTGGAACAGTAAGTCTCCCTCTCTCTCTCTCTCTGTCTCTCTGAGCATGAAGTTATATTATTGGACCAGAACATAAAATAAAACTTACTTCTGAGCATAAAGTTATATTATTAGACCAGAACATAAAATAAAACTTACCGATGAGAATGCTAGTCATGCCTACTGACTTGAGCTGGACCTCCATCCCAAACTCTGTATCTAGGTGTCCTGATTCATGAGTAAATTTCTACGTAAGTGATCAAATCCACCAAGCAACTTCATGCTAATAGCGGCATTCTAATTCAGTCAAACACTTACTTTCATACTATTTCTATCTACTGTGCATATGTAGTTTTGAGTGTTTCAATTATTATATGATGCACTTATTCAGTTTTCATTTTATTTTTCACATTCATACAGTTGTTATCTATGCATTTCTAGTTTTGAGGGCTGAATCTTGGCTAAATGAACTACTGCCCGAATAAATGTTTTTCCATCCTGTTATTGTTATTGCTGTTAGTTTTTTTCTCTGTCAAGGCACGAAAAGGACAAATCACAGCTCATTTATATGACAGAGAGTCTTGAATTTTGTTCACAAATAGTATATAATTTCTTATCATCATGCAGGTGGATTCTATAGTTTACCATGTTGATGTGTACGACAAAGAGAGATTTGCAGAGGCCAGAAAGGAGCTGGATGCCCTACATAAAAAAGAACAACAATACTCAACCTTGTTAATACCAGATGTTCTTTTTTTTGAAATTGATGTTGATTATGTTAATTTTTTGTTGGAATGAATTGTTTTTTGGTTTTTGGGGTTTAGAATAGGGTTTTGTGAATCGTTCCTTGTTTTTGGAATCAATGTCACTGCTGCTGAGTTATGTGTTGAAACTCGGATTTAGAAAATTTTATAATAAGACCTGTTTTGATTATGAATTCGTCCTGTTTTGATTATGAATTCGCTAAATATACAGGTGTATTATTTTCCTGCTTTGGCGACCAATTTATTAGTCGCGGCATCCAAAATAAATTTTTTTCACAAAAAATGATAATTGCCGACCAAGAGTTTTGGTCGCAAAAAATACATCTATTGCCGACCAAAACAGCTCTTGGTCGTGGAAACTCACTTTTGCCGACCAAAAGTTTTGGTCGCGAAAAGTAACAAATGGCGACCAAATTTTTTGGTCGCGAAATGTGATAATTGGCAACCAAACTTTTTGGTCGCGAAATGTGACAATTGGCGACTAAGAAATTTGGTCGAGAAAATATCACTTTTCGCAACCAAAGTGTTTTAGCGGCAAAATAAATTAGTCGCGGTAATTAAATATTTAGCGACCAAAAATTTAGTCGGCAAATCCAACTTTTGCCGACCAACGAAAATTTTGGTCGCGAATTACTTTTGCCGACCCTCAATTGGCGACCAAACTAGCGACCAAAAAATATAAACGCAGA